AGGCGCCCTCTGGGCAATTAGATGCCCGGAATCTGCTACCCACTCGCACGCCCACAACACATTCACTCTCAGTCTCTCTATGCCTCTCTCTCTCTCTCTCTATATATCTCTCTTTTCATAGTAACGTCATCGTGAGCCTGCAAACACCTGCGGTTCGCCGCCTGCCCGCATACACAAATACACAAATACAAATACAAACAACACACACACACACACACATATGCTCACATATTTACACACAAATCGAATTGCCGGCGCTCTTACAAGCTCACTCAGTGGCTCTCTTCGATTTGCGCTCTCTCTCTCAGAGCCGCAGTCAGAAAAAAAAAACAGTAATATCAAGCGGCCGCTGCTGCTGCTGTCGTCAGTCGCTGACGTTGTTTGCGTCAAAAAGAAGTTGTTGCTGCCTACGAGCATAAAGTAAACCAAAAAAAAAAAGTAAAAAAAAGAAAATAGGAAAAGTAATGTGAAATTAAGTCATATATTTATATATATACATATATATATTGTAAATGTATGTGTGTTGTGTGTTATGCCTCTTTTCAGTTAGTCAGGAAGTCCGCAACTAAACTATAGCCTCCACCAACAACAATAAACAAACAACAACCATTTGCATGTCTTCGTTCGATTGGGCTGAAAATGATATAAAAAACTACATGAGCAGCGCTATAAATGTCAAACTGAGGTAAGTCGCACAATATAATATATACATTGCGAGTGCAGTTAAATGATTTGACCTTTGACGCTTGTGTGTGCGCCTGTGTGTGGCAACAGGTGCGTCCGCCTCTCGCCTCTAGCCACTTGCTACCCCTTGCCACTCCGCAATAACCTCTATATTTGCCGCCCAAGAATAAAAGAGGCAAGCAACACACAAGAGCAAATGCGAAATGCAAATTTGCCCAACAGCGCCAATTAGCGATTTGTGCTACTCTCTCTCTTTAAAAATGTGTTCAGGTGGTGTACAGGTGGTAGTCACTGTACAGGTGCAGGGGCTGCTCTCCCATTATCATCATCATCTATTCAAATTCAATAGATTATATTATTATGCAAATTTTGAGTTATCTTTCGAAGAAGCTCATAAGAGGTGCAAAAATTCAAAGAGCCACAATTCGTTTCCGTTTCCGCTTCCGTTTATTTTTCATGTTAATTTTGTGTAGCATACTTCCAGGCATCACAAAAATCCTATACCAAAGAATAGCAGCAGTTTTCTGATTTAAAAGGTGGCTTAAGAGATGAAGCCAAAAAGAAATATATATAAAATAAAGTAAATAAAAAATATATTGAAATTATTAAATCAAATTAAATATTGAGAAATATTGAGTATATGTCTGAAATTTGCAACTCAGTAAATAAAGTAAAAACATTTATCTTATGCACTCCAAAGATACACAGCAGTCAATTTATAATTTCAGTGCGAAGTTGAAGATTTTATTATATTTATTATGTTTTTATGTTGAAGATTTTATTATATTTATTATGTTTTCTTTTTATTGTATATCTACCCTCTGCTCGATCCCACAACAAAGAATTAATTATTCGACCGATTGTTTTTATGACAACTGTATAATATTAATTTGGGATTGCAGTAAATCGATACATATATATATATATATATATATTCAGTTTATCAAGATACCTTTAAAACTCAGCAACAAATAGAATGTGAAAACATGTTTATGTGAGACATGTTTCTAAGCAGCAACATTAATTTAATGATTGTCTCTAGATAAAAGACATTAATGCGATAAATAACCAGTTTCATTATTCGCAGGTAGTAAATCTGTCCTTAGACCATGATATGCCTTGGCTTCATTTAAAAAGAGGGTCGCATTTGCGAAATTTTTAGTAGAGGGAAAGCATCGTTATATAAGAAAAAATTGTCGTCAGGGTAGAAGAAACTGTTTCCATTTTCTGATATATATATTTAGGCTTGTCACAAACATATTTTATAGTGTTAATAACTAATTAAGATTGTTTACTGTTTGGTGAGCACTTTGTGGAATTTAAATATGAGTTTCGCTGGTTTCAGGTCAACTAACTAACTATGCTTAGTTTGCGAACATATTCAAATTGACTTCAAGCACTTCAGCAAACATCGCCATTCAGCCAATTATGGCGAAAAATCAGTTCATGTTAATATGAAAGCTGTCAGAATCTGATCTTTTTTATTGAGTGTGTAATGAAATAAATTTGCAACAACACCAAAGTCACGTAGCCTTCATTATTTTCTTAAACCAGATCAGGTGGCAGGACATGTGACTTGATTTCACTTGAAATATGACTTTGAACGAGGCGCCAGGAACACCAGCTGTCAATGTGGCAAGTGGCAAGTCGATGGGGTCCTATTGTGTCGACTTCATTTACTTTGATTGAATGCTGTTGACACGAGTCCCGCCTGATGGCTGCTGGATATGTGGATTTGTGGATCTCTGTGGATATGTGTTAAAAATAGCAGCAATACCAGTAGCCACGAAAATAACAACAACAGCAATAATAATAAGAAGAAGAAGAACAATGACAGCATTTATATTCTGTCACACAGCGAGAAATTCGTTTTGATTAAGACTTGCGTAAACAGCCGGAAGGAAGCTGCGGCATTAATTCCCCGCGTCCGTTCCGAATCCGCATTATAAATGAAACGCAAATATTTGTGTGTCCACAATACGGATGCACACACATATACATATATTACATATACATATAAAAAACCAATTCATAAAATACCACATAAGCCATAGTTCAGTAAAGGAAAGGAAAGGACTCGTGAAAAGCACTCTCGTTTCATTGTTGAATAGCTCCATAAACTGGGAGCCTTCCTAGCTCTTAGCTCTCATAAAAAGCGCATAAACAAAACACAAAATGTAACTTAAACTTTGCTTAAACAGCTCTTACTGCATTTTGGGTATTTAAAGTATATTTTGCAGAGTGTATTTCACAACATATGTGATTCACTTTTAGTCATTTGATTAATTATCGATCAAGTTATTTTTATCATATCATTTATCTTATATTATATCAATTTGATTGAAGCAAATAAAATCAGATAAATATGTTATGATACGCAGACTTCGAAAGCATTTATTTCTTTATTTTATTCGGCTTTATTAATATCATTATATTACACAATTGTTAAACTCAATAATTACCCATTAAAAAAAGAGACAAGGGTATATTGAAGTTGTGCAAAAGGATGTAGCAGGCAGAGAGACCCCATATATAGACCCCGTATATATTAAATATATTCTTGATTAGCCGCAAACGGCGAGTCTTTTTAGACTACATTTATGAACATGCCGAGAAAAGTTTTCGTATACCATAAACAAACCAAGTTTGTATACTTTCACGAACATCGTTATAATAAAAAATATAACCTGAACTTTAGAGATATATATATTTCAACGTAATGTCGGTTGAGTAACATGGAAGTGTATTCTTACTTGTTTGCACCCAACTTTTGTATTTGTAAGAATTTCCTTTGACATTATTTATTCATTTACCACTCTCGGAGCCCAATTGGATGTCCGCTGATAAGTAGACACTGAAAGTATACCATAATTATTTTCTTATCGCCAAGGCACAAGTTCTACATCTGAGTATTTAGTGTGCCGAGCTATCAAATTTAGCCATCGATTAAGTCGTCCATTGCTTGATTAACGGCTCAATCTGTCGCCGTCTTCTGCAAGTGCCTAAGCGAAACATTACAAACCCTACCAAAACTACCCGTACTTACCACACACACACACATACACATACTGTCCGTCTCCTCTTTCCCCGGCCCGCTTCTTTGGGATTATTAATCAACATTCTGGGCGGCAGCCGTTGTTGCAAGCAATTAATTTAAAACTGAGCAAATATCAATCATAATCCGAGCACGTTTCCAAAGTCTGGCCATATATCCCTAGGATCTCATTAGGGACATGGGGGAGTCGAGTCAAAATTGGAATTCGAATTGGAAGTAGAATACAATGGCGTCATATGGCGCATCACGAAACCTCAACGACGACAATCCATTTACTTAATGAGATTGCAAGTGACATTGTAAACTGAAACTCGTCTCGAGGTGCCTGCACAGTTAGGGCTCCCTAACCGAGCTCTCTTGCGGGCGGGGGGAGAGGTGTGCAGCACAATGTCGGCCAGTCTCATATAGTAAGTTAAGTGAGCCAAGTTCATTCATAAAAGGCGTCGCCAGCCAAAATATAAAAACAACAACCACAACATAGATGTATGAAAAAATAATCAATGGTAGGAGTGGGGGGTGCATAGGGGGTTCCCTACTGCGCATATACAAAATGTCTAAAAATAGCTGGACAAATGCAAAAAGATATCAAATTTAAAATGCCTTGGCCAAAAAAAAAAAAAAAACAACAACTAAAGTCTTAAGGCAGCTGAGGAGGCAAAGTAGCGAGTAACGTTTAGTTGAAAATGTAAAAGAAAATGTGGCCAAATGTAAAGAAGAGCAAAAAGAGTGGGAAAGCTAGGGAGAGGTAGGGAGAGAGGGCAGTTATTTTTGGAAAGTAACGCACGAACGAGGGAGTGAGTCGATGTGTGTGTGTGACAGAGACAGAGAGAGAGAGAGAGAGAGAGAGAGAGATAGAGAGAGAGAACGTCAAAGCTTAACGCTGAGCTCACACTCTAGACGGGCGCCACCAGCTCAGAAGCAAACTTTGCATTGCGTGCGTGCGTGGGCATTGAAAGCTGCACGCAACCGAACACAAAACGAAAGCTCAAAGCGTGGGCGTCGCTGTCGACGCAACAGGAGCACCAGCAGTCATCGGCCGTCAGCAGCAGCAGCAGCGTCAGCAAAAGCTTTCCGTGTAAAAGCTGTATGCCAACATTACCCCATGCCCGCCAACTGGAAGGCTGGAAAGTGAAGCTTCGCAGTGTCGTGACGCGCTGTCGGGTGGCTTTCAGAGGACTTCGTGTAACGGTTGTCGGCTCGTGCCTCTGTCTACCTGATGCTCGGCGAGTATTCGCAGCAAGGCGACACTTCGACTTGATTTCAGTTCAACCTGGTGAGCGCAGCGAAGTGAACGCTGGGCAGAGTGTTGAGCGGTTAAATAAGAAAAGTGACTCCCTACAGAAAGTAGGGAATAAATTCCCAGCTAGTATTTTGCGCCAGCTAATTCAGCGATTGTCGTCCAGTGTGGCCAGAGCTCGGTTACTTATGGGCTGACGCTGTTGCTGCTGCTCTTGCGTGGCATATGAAGCTCAACATATGGCAGCAGTTGGTATCGATGCCAAAATGCAGCACACTTATCACAAGCACTTTGCGCACTTTTCACCCTGGTAAGTCACTTGGAACACTTCGAATTTACAAAACTAAGTTTATCAACATTACAATGTGTCCCAAGTTTTTTGCTGCTTAACTTTTGCTTTCCATTTCTCTTTTCGCTTGCCTAAAGCATTTTTGCTCTGAAAAGTATGCTAGCTTTTCTGTGTGTCTCGATTACATTTCTATGCATAATTTGTTCGCGTGGCTGGCGTCGCCATTTTGTGTGACGATCGAAGGCGTGGAGCGTGATATAATGCAATAATTGACTTTAATTAAAGGAAGCTCTTCGTTTGTCGTCCATTCCAATTAAAATGCAAATAAATTCCAATTATAACATAATTCACTTTATTCTTTGTCTGTTTGTCAATTGTCATTATGAAATAGTTAGGAAAATTCGCGAAATGTAAGTGCGATACACAAATTAATGATAAAAATTACATATTCATTATAATTATATATGTATAAAAGAAAAACCCAAAAAAAAATTCCCCTGCAAATTGTTATGTGTATCAATTTCCTGTCAACGGGCAGCAACTCATGACACAGATAAGATATGTGTAGACACAACCAGCTACAGATACACACACAAAGGTGCTATGTGCAACTGTATCTGACATTGACACTCATACGCCCCACTCACCTCCTCCACTCGTTGTGCGCTTTACAAAACTGCGCATTTGGTTTTTGGAAGGCATCGAATGTTGATTTCCAATTGATATGCAATTTTCTTGCTGCTGCTTGCTGTTTGCTGTTGTCTCTCTGCACACAGATTACATATATTGATACACACACACACACAAACACATACACACACTCACTCACACACACATACTGATTCAAGTATATAGAAAATTACTCAGTTCTTTCATCATACACATTAACAGATGTTTGAATCTGACAAAGCCTGTTCATTATGCTTGCATTTTATCATGCATATTTTTTCTCCGGGAAATGAATAAAATATTGTGCATAAATTCCATGGAAGCGCACAGATGACCCTCGCAATATGCAGCTGGGAGGGAGCTGGGAGCTGGCATAATGAGACTCACTTCGTTTCGCATCTGTTGTGCTGGGCAACAGCAACAGGAGCTGCTGCTGCTGCAGTTGTTGCGCTTTGTTGAGTGCCTCCTACGTAAGCCGCTTTGGCAGCACCGCATTCTCACTGAATCCTATTCAGTGCACAGGATGTGCACAATTTCCACGTAGTTTGCTTTCAAATTGGAAAAATGCTACCCTCTAACATGCTTTCTAAATAGAGGGATGCAAGAAATATGGAAATTGTGTACCCAGACAAAAAAATAACAACTTCAAACAGCATAGAAAGAAACAACAAAAATTAAATATATGCTTCAAAAAGCTGCGAATAGCCCATTTAGTTGTTTGGCTCAAAGCGTTAAAGTTCGTTAATCAGCTTAATGGTCAGCTTGGCCAAGATCAGCGTTGATTCCAAATACCAGGCCGAAAGCCTTTTCATTTGAAAAAGTTGTTGAGCAAACTATAAGCCGCAGTATAAGTTTTCTCTGAAAGTCAAGACTAATAATGACTTGTTACAATTTATTTTCGAAAGTGAAGCAAACTAACTTTTGCAGACGAAACATAGTTGGTCAGCTTTGAAAATCGATAGTCTTTTGACGAAGTTATGAGAGAAGATTAAACGGTAGAATTTTCACCCAAATGTTTCAAATTTATAATTCAGCAAATAAATCAACCAAAAATTACAAAAGTATTTTCTACAATTAAGTTAAAGAAACAATTGAAATGCTTATCCGAATGAAAAACGCTTACATATTTGCCAAGTTGAGGCAAAATTGGGCTAAGCATTTATTAATAAGTTGCTTTTCATGGCGCACATAAGCCAAAAATTCTTTGCTGTCTGAGATAATATTATTATAGGGGTCAACAAAAAAATGTGGACTGACAACACGTTATTTTTCACCGAATGGCTGCTCACTGATAAATTTCACTGTTACACAGCTGGAGCCATTCCCTGTCAAGCGCACAAATCATAGCCAATTGCCGCATTGAGTTTCGCGGCCAGCGCTTATCTAATTGCTTTTCATTTTCCGCTGAGCGGAAATGCCTTTTCTTTTTGTTTTGCACGCTGTGCACAAATTGTGATTTGTGTATAGAAATGAAAGACCGAAAAACAATTTGTTCTGACTTAACCAGGGCTTAGCAGCAGCAGCAGCAGCATCATTTGCGAGTCGGTTACATAAGACTTTATGGGCCAGACGTAGGCCAAAACACCTTCCGATTCCACTCGAGATTTGCAGCTGTCTGTTCGTTAATTTTGTTGTTTTGCCCAGCTGCTCGATATTCGCAATAACAGTACTCCTAAGAGCTCTAAAGTGCCCAGGCAAGCAGAAGACCTGGAGCCAACACTTCAGGCTCAAGTGTTCGACCTTTAACCCCCAACATTGTGTTGAATATAAATATCCAGCAACAAAAACCCGTCTTAAAGTGTGATGAACTGCCTCCTCTTGAGCTGAGAGTCGGCCAAGCGCATAAGAGGGCCTACTTCACCGCCCACCACCAACTTCTTATTCCTGACAGTGCTGGTTTTATGCTCAGACAGACACCAACTGACAGCTACAAGCAGGATAAAAAAATATACACCAGAGAAAATCCTTTGCGGCTTTTGCCCAATAAATGCGCAACGAAATCGACTTGAAAGCGTTGAAAAACTGACCAACAGCTGGCAAAAACCCTTTCGACCAAAACTCAACAAGAGCTCACGTAGAACATTTTTTAAGTAAACAAAAAAACACAACTTGCTTCAAACCGAAACTGACTTCCAACAGCTGAACAGTTGGAAAGACATTTTTTTTTTATAATGAGTTTGATCTAGAACGGTGACTATTACAAGAAAGAAAATATATCAGCTGCGTTCATGACGTATATGTAATATATATTCATCTATGAATTAGAATTGTGTGACTAGACATTTTGTTCTGCGCCGACAGTTAGCTCCATGATGGCATTAACGACATCGCTATTGTGCTTCACCAGCGCCTTGATGGCTTGCTTGCGGGAACAGCCCGCCTGCATTTCGACCAGATCGATATCCTTTTCATCCAAAGCGCCGCCAAGTGCATGCACATCAATGTCCTCATCATCATTGTTGTTCACAATAAGTGCATCCGGTGACTGATGCGACGATTTCCCATTGTTGATATAGCGTTCGGCTGCCTGGGAGGTGGCTGCATTTGAGGCATTATCGATCTGCACCTCACCGAAAAAGATGAATGTCTTGCTCCTGGGGCACTGGAAGACATCCGGCTTATCGATGTACAGCAGCATATTGTTGCTCTTACGCATCGCGACACGCGACACATTCGGAATGCGCTGCAAGTCCAGTTTCATGAGTAGGCGTCGTGCCTTCCTCTCGCCACGCGACCACTTTGGCTTCGACATGAAGTTGCCGGCGCGCAAGTCCGAGAGTAGCATCTGCTCGGAGTAGGGCTCATCATCGCTGTCCGTTGAGGATGAGGCGCTGCCGGAGTTCGGGACAAGCGATTGCAATTTTTCGCACAAGGTCTTCAGATCCTCTACATTTTCAATTAAGTCAGACTTCTTGGAAATTGCATCGTCACCGTTAGTGTTGTTGCTGTTGTTGACAGATGTACCTGCAACTGATTTTGCGGCAACGTTAGCAGAAGCAGCGGCGGAAGCAGCGGCGGAAGCAGCGGCGGAAGCAGCGGCGGAAGCAGCGGCTGCTGCTTTTTTCATCTTTTGGTCTTTACCCATCGTTTTCGCAGAAATTCCAAATTAGTTTCCCGTTGGAAAGTTGACGAGCTGCAATTTATTTAACATAAAGTTCAGTTCAAAATGTTCTTTATTAATTTTTGTATTGTCTGGAAAAAAGTAATTGCAAACTTGCTTTCCTGACGTCTTCACCTAAAAAAGTTTCAACAAAGAAGAAGAAACCAAATTAATTTTGTGAACTTGGGTGCGATTGCGGCAGTGTTGTAGATCGACAGTCATGTGCAGTGCTGGTTAAGTTAAGTATTTGTTAATGATTGATTTATTTTGGTAATATTGTTGTGGACAATAAGAGCAACACTTGATCTAACCACGATTAATTTCATTGCATATTGCAGCTCAGTATATAATATTATCAATCGATCACCGATAGTCTGGCTGCTGCTAACGAATTTCTTTTGGATTATCATGAATCATAATTGCATTATTCTTTTGTTCTTGTTCGTTTTGGTGAAGAAACAAAAATATGCGTATTTAATCGTATCATATCATATCATATCATATCATATTATATATCATTACCAATTGCCACGTTGACTTTTCCGGCCAGTTTCACGCCTATCTAATTGTCTTACATTAACTTATATTAACGCATTTAAAATGGGTTATAATGCTGAAATGAAGTTGTGCAAAAGTATTTAACAGGTACAATAAAATATCAGAGATTATAAAGGATGGTCTGGCCGGATATCATGTTTACTTAATTTTATGCAGAACTCCCTTCGGTACTAGTGAAACGTACCGATTACAAATAAAAAATGCAACAACTTCCCAATGATATTGAATATACCTTGAATGAATATATACTTTTTATAACCAAAACCACTTTTCTTATTGAACAAACTACTGTCAATGGACGCAAATATTTTCTGTATGCATAAAAAAAGAAGCGAGCAGCATGAAAATCGAAGCGAGCAAGAATGCATTGTCCTGAGATTTATGAATGCACATAAACCTACATATATATATAAATATATATATATATATATATGCAAAAATGTTGTAGATATGCGCTTCTGCAAGTAACTGATTTCTTTCTTGAGTTTGTGAATAAAAAAGTGTGCTGCTGCCATAGATTCTTTTCTTATTACCTGCGCCAGCCATGAAATGATGATGATTTGTGTATAGTAATAAAATCCCGATAAAAGCAATTGATGGGGCTTAGGCAGCAGCATTTGCGAGTCAGTTACATCAGACTTTATGAGCTGGACGTAGCCCTAAATCACTCGATTTTCACAATAATAGGACTCCGAAGTGCTCAGGCAAGCAGAATACCGGGAGCCAACACTTCCGGCTCAAATATGCGACCAAGCACCAACGTTGTGAATATACCAACAATATAAAACACATAACGGAAATATCCAAAGTCCGTCTTAAAGTGTGATGGACTGCCTCCTGCAGTGCTGAGTCGGCCAAGCGAATAAAACGCCTATTTCGCCACATCCAACTTTGTATCCCTGACATTGCTGGTTTTATGCTCAAACAGACAGCAACTGACAGCCACAAGCAGGATAAAAAAAAAAAACATAAGAACAAATCCTTTGCGGATTTTGGTCAAGAAATTCGCAAAGAAAACATCTTAAAACCTTTGAAAAATAAAGAAAAAATAACTAGAAACTGGCTCAAAACTTTTGGCCTAAAACTCAAGAAGAACGAACGCAAAACTTAGTCTCAAAGGTAGCAAAATTTTAAAACAAACAAGAAACAACTTGCTCCAAAACGCAGAGTCTGCTTTGCAATGTATCGGACTGTGCGATGCTCTTATCTTAGTGTAATCATCGCTTAATACAGTTTTAGAAAAGATATCTTATTCATGAGCTTCGAAGTGTATTAGAAGAACTCCAAAACCGTTGCGATGAGAAGGAGTTATGAAAGATTTTTAAAGAAGATCGTGAATAATCTATCTTTTACTTTGAGAGATTTAAATTTTGGCTGGAACAGATATTTAAGAAATGTTTATCAGCACTTACTAATAAATTCAATAAGCTCTTTCCCTTCGGAAGCAGTGTATTAAAATGCACAATATTTCGGCCATAAAAGCTACGAAACTTGAAATTGTTTGTAGAAAGTTACAGTCGTTAAAGTTGGGCAGGGGGTGAGAGGGAGTGGTGATGTGGCCCACGGTTTACGGCACGTCCCCCACAGTTGTTTCTGGCTACTTAAGCTGTTTACTCAAGCGTAAGGCGTTTGCCATGTGGCCAGGTGATGGCAGCCATCTCTGACAGCTGCCCCTGACTGTGTCTTCGCTTGTGGCATCTGTTTTTCTGGCTGTGCCTGTCAGTTGATTTTGTATTTCGCACGCGTCTAGCGAACGCCGATTAAAACTCTGCGCGCACAACTTAATCAATTTCCGGTTTAATTTTCACTACAGCCAGCTGTACATAGAAATCCTGTGGCTTTGAAGAAGATTTGAAAAAAATTTGTGTCTTACAAGCTGTGCACGTTCTAAGTAAAGAAAATCCTAATCACAAGGTTAAGGTTCTTCCAAACATATCTCTGACCTCAGTTTATATATCAAGTTAGAACGTTTTAGTCAGTCGTCATCGTCTGCGGTATTCTATTATACCAGTGTAATATCAGCTTAAGATAGGTGGAAAATAACCTTCTTGTGATGTGCTTTGTGAATTTTGTCACTTTGGGTCTGAATTTGCAAGAGATATATGCATTTGCAATTTTTGCCAATCTTAGCAGGTGATTTCTACTATCCGAGTTTTTTTAGCCTTGCTTTAAAATTAAAGGAGAACTGGAATTTATGGGAGTGCTTTGGGAGGAGGAAGTTCCTCATAGTCTACCTTTCAAGTTTGGAAACTCTAGGTTGAAAATTGCGATAGATTTTTCTTGGGTTTTTTTTTTTTTATGGAAGAGGGTGTGGCAGGAAAATAGTTTTCGCCTTTCGAAAGGCTGCTACAAGTAACATTCCTTTCGATTCTGATGACTCTCATTTTCAAATTGTGTGAGATATGCGCTTTTATCGATTTGCGATTATCGATGTTATTGATATCCTGGTAACATTTGGAAAGTTAGGCCGACTCGAACACAGCTTCAAGTCTCTAGTTTTAAGGGTTTGGAAAAGAGTTGCGCTCGTCCAGACGGACAATCAGTGGCATCATACAAACCAAATTTACTCACAAATTTTCGGTATCAGAGTTTAATAATGCTGCATACACTAAATGCGCTGTAGCCGTATGATTTATATTATTTTTCCACATTATTTTACACAAAGATGTAGATTAATTACACATTTCCATAAAGTGTGTTTGGTAATGTGAAGCACAAAAAATTAGCTGTCTGCAGAAATCATGTGTAATAAATAAAAGTATATGTATTGGTCCTATTGTGTTTAATCACACTTCAGAACAGGGTATCACCTTGAGGAGCTCCGTCTCCCATTCTTTTACAAAATTCGAGCCTGTTTTATTTTTGCTCATTTTCACGCACAAAATTGTTGGAGACGCGAATTCGGTCACAATGCAAAACCTAAAGTCCTTTTTACGGCTGCCGTCGACAGCTGCAAATTGAATGAAATTAAGCCGAATTTAGAGTCCGCCATTTATTAAGTGGCTTTGCATTGCGAAAGGACGACTGGCTGCTTGACAACAGAGCGTCAAAAGAAGAAGCCGCGCGCAACAAAAGCTATTTTAATTGAATGAATACTTATTCAGTAAGTTCTAGTGAAAGGCACCAGCACCTGGCAACTAAAAAACCAACAGTAATAACAACATCAGCAAAAACACTTTCATGAAAAGCTTATTAATATAGTAAAATAGCTGGGAAAACTGGAGTTAAGGCTGAGCAATTGTGTGTAAGGACCAAGTTACCAGTGGAGCTCAAAGATGGCAGTTGCAAAGAATGTCATCTGTCAAGAAACAAAAGAATGGAAAAGAAAAAAGGCAAGAGAAAAAGCATTCTTTTAAAAAACCGGTTCACTTCGACAAAGTTATAGCTGTGAAGACGTTTGACATATCTCTCTGATCTTATGATTGAGAGTTTCTATAGTAGCTAAATGATATCTATGTTAACATATTTTCCGATGGCATAAAAGTTAAACTTGGATACTGATGCTGATTAAGAATATATATACTCATAGGGTCGGCGAAGTCTCATTCAATGCTCAAAGGTGGGCATTAATATAAGACAAGTCAATATTTACTGAATCTTTTCAAAAATAAATACATGAACCGGTTTAGCTAGATGGCCGAATCAAATATTTGAAATTTATTTAACTGAGGTAAATAAATTTCTTAAATATGTTATTATTATTATTATTAGGGGGGAAGCTGTACCGAGACCTATTTGATCTATTGTGCCCCCCTTCTGAGCCTATAGCTCTTCCATCAGCCCCAACTCCCTTACGAACGTGAGGATCTTTGTTGGGTTGAGGTCTACTATGTCTTTGCAATTCAAAACATGCGCCCCTAGGATGCTGCTTCTTCTTCTAATTAAGGCGACACATTCTGTCAGGATGTGCATCGAGGATTCCTCCTCTTTTTCACAAAACCTGCAGAGATCGCTACTGTGTATACCCAATTTTCTCAGGTGACTCCTTAGTCTACAGTGTCCTGTCAATAGACCGGTAAGTATCCTAAGATTGTTCTTTCCCATGGTTATAATCTATTTAAAACGTACAAGATTATAACCACCAAGGAGGCATCTGGCTTGTCGGAGTCCTACTGCCTCTGACCAGCTCTGATGCCGTCACTGTCTCTCCTCGTTTCTAAGTTCCAGTCGTATAGTGTGTCTCCCTATGCCACAATACGGTTCTGGTCCTGTTAGGGGCCTTTCTGCCCCCATTCTTGCTTGCTTGTCAGACGCCTCGTTTCCCGCTATGAGCCGGGACCCATCGTAGGGTGAGCCTGTTGTGAGTCCCGAGCAGGTCTAGCTTTGAACGAACTCAGCCTGAAATATGCTGGTGTGCGTTCCCAGGGATTCATGGTAAAATACCCGAGGACCCACCACTCCAAGGCCGGTGCCCTGATGGTGGTGTGGTGGTGTGAGCTCCATTAAGGCTTCAAGGGCCATTGTAGCGCAGGTGCGCATAGCTGCATACGCAGGCCATTCTTTGCAACTTTTGTAGTTGTTTCTTCACGGTGATCATCCGCGCCCTGTCACCCAATGCAACCACCCCATAGGTTAACATGGGTCTTACTACCATCAGGTACAGCCAT